GTAAAAAAATCAAAAATCGACCTCAAACAAATGTTTATTTTTACACGTTTTTGCTATTTACACCAAACATAATTGCAATCAAAACGTAAATGATAATTCGTAAACATCAATTTAGTTAATTGTTTCCGAAGCAAACTCGCAAATCGATATTAGACCTACTCGGTTTAAAATATCGAAATTCAATATTGTTCACTAATGTGTATAAGACGTTTCAATGACGTGTTCCTAAACCATTGAACCTAAACTCCATTGAAAAAAATCCTAATTTTTTCAATGGAGCAAATGCCTACTATTAAATATGACTTACATATTTTCAGTTAAAACGTACGCGAAAGATTTACTTCTCCCATACTCGTGAAAATTTTAAACATTCATAAAAGATGAAATAAATAAATGCATGAATACGATTACAATGGAAATGAATTTGAGAAAAAAAAAAACGAAAATTAATTTTAAAAAAAACTCTGTCTAACACACAATCACCCCTCGTAGATTCAAATTCAGCATCACTCTGATACGCATTGAATGAGAAATTTAAAAACACAGCGACGATACAAAAATTTGAGTTCACGAGATGTTTGAAAGTGTTGGAGAACTAGTTAACCGTGGTTTAGTTATGAGATATTTAACTTATAAATGTCGGTACGAGCGGCACTAACGGAAAAATTTTCGAACACAACATGTCACTTATTCCCTACATTCCAACACCCATTGCAATGCATTTAATGCGGTAATAATCGTTACGTACGAGTATAATTTTACTCTTGTTACAATAATACCATACGATGCTCAACAATAATTCGGCCGATAATACGGCGCACTGTTATCGTTAGACTGCATATCAATATACCACTGAAATATTTTTTTAAAATTTCAGTCGCAATATTAAACTGTTCATGAAATTTATCCGACCAAATGTCATTATTGTTAAGAATGGCATAATATTGTACGCGTTTAATGTATAATTTTATGTAACAATAACCGTCGTTTATAAATATATATATATATATGTGTGTATACCTTCATTTTTAGATGTAAGATTACAGTGGTGCAACCAGGATTTATTCAAAGGGGGGGGGAGGGGTCCAGGAAAAATATTTATTTATCTACTGTTCTTCTGATATTTTCCTGAATACATACATTATAAATACAATTATATTATTTAATATACATACGAATACATATTATTTACATTTTTAAATTTATATTTACAATTAAGGTATTTCAATTAATTATAATTATTATGCCAATTCAATTATGGTAAAGTCACTAATTAGTATTATTATTTATAGTGTAAAATCCAAACACCGGTTTATCGTCGATTTTAGCTATTTATCAGATTTGTCGTGTTATCAACAATATACCAACTCTAATAATAATACTCTTATCAATAAGTTTTGATGCAAACTTCCGGGTAACTTTAAAAAAAAAATAAATAAATACTATGGCATGAGCCAAAGAGAGGTCCGGACCCGGGGTCCATCTCTCTGGGTTCACCATTGTACGATTATAATAATCATATTATCAACGCTGTAAAATGTGTGTATACATAAATATGTAATATAGGTTTTTTAATGTATAATTTTTCTAACTCTATTTTTAACTCATTGAATATTAATGTCCTAAATCAAAAATCTGATTGCTGTAATTATTTAAACTTCATCTGATACATTTTTGATTTTTTGTCGAGTCCCTAACTTAATTTCCACAAAAATTTAAAATATATTTTAAAGTACTTTAAAACATCTTTTTTTTTTCTAACATATATTTTTACTGACCTAGTCTGGATTAGTATAATTAAATAAATGAAGGACAGGTCAATGGTACAAACTAGGTATTATAATTACAATAGAGTTTTCAAGAGAAAATATTATTTATTTTTATGTACCTACATATTAACATACATAAAAATAATATATAAATAAAATGAATATAGTACAATAAATAAATTATTAATAAAATGGGTACTTAATTGTATTAATTTTTATATATACCATGACATTATGTTATTACAATTGCCTTTTCATTTGACATATATACAAAAAAACATTTATATTTTACATCTGTAATACTTATTATAAATTAATTTGATAATAATGTAGTATTTACAATAAAAGTTCCTACATTTGATGATGGTTAGGAAAAATTAAAATGTGAATAATTTAAAAATAATTGCACATTAGATCCTATGATTCACTATATCACTAGAAATTAATAGCTTATTTAATCTAATTAATTAATTATATTTAAATAAATTGTTATACATATGCATAAGTTTTAATTGCACACGAGCCTGATAATCTTAAGACGTTGTTCGTTGCGTGATTATCATCTTTCTTTTTGACGTTTGTAATTACTCGTATTAAGTTAAATTGTATTAAAATTTGAAATAAGTTATTTTTTATGTGATGTACCAGCAAAAGCGTTTTTGCTTATAATATATTATATATATTAAGTCGAAAAATCCGCTCATCTACTAATAATGCATCGGCACCAAAAACTACCACATACTCAGGGAACAAAAACATACAGGGAATATGTTGATTGTTATTTTTCGTATGGTTCAGTTTTTTAACAAAATAAATAACATTAATTAAATTATCAATCACATTTCTTTTAAATTATGATAGTACACCAAAAGTTGAACGCGGCGAGATTGTGTCCTAAAAGCAAAAATCCAAGTTATATAATAAAATTTAAAATATCATAAAATAAAAAGTACCACTACCCTGGTTACAAAATTTTAATCTAACACTCGCCGCAAAGAAACTAATTTAAATATACAAAACGTAGAGCAATTCATTTTTCCACGCGATTTTTCAAAATATCAATTGAAGAAATTTATTGCCGTAGGTTATATATACATTTTTCTCGATCGATATACACAACGAAATTTGAATAAATTAACTTTTTTAATACAACTAAACTTATGAAAGTTACGAGAGATGGTAATGAAAAAAAAAAATTGCAAAACTAAATTGCCTCCAGAGAGAATTGAACTCTCGACCCCTGGTTTACAAGACCAGTGCTCTAACCACTGAGCTATGGAGGCTTACTGACATATCGAATCAACTAGCCATTTTTAAAACATGATAATTTGAAATAATCTAATTTAATATTTTTTTGCTTTAAAATATATAATAAATCCAAAAAAGTGAAGGAGCTAAGGGACATTACCACCAAAGGGACGTGTTATATATAATGTAAGTATGTTATAAATACTTCGTATGTCTTTAATTAAAAATAGGTCAAAAAAATAATAAACTTATTAATTTTTCATATTTTATCATTTAAAAAAAAAAAAAATATAATATACTATAAAATTAGCATACATATTTAATTACTAAAATTATATATTTAATCTTTCTAGATCAGACCTGATGTTAAATTATTAATGAATAATAAACTTAAGAATAAATATTGCCACAATTACGAAACAATTTTCATTGACATCCCGTCCGATTTACTTCAATTTATAATTAGGTATTCTTTCTAATTTCAGTGACAGCTATCACAGATTAAATACTTAACATTTTTTTCTTTAAGTGTAATTTTATTGAGAAATTAAAAACATTTAAAAAATTAGAACATTCGACATCGCTCTTTATTTCATTATACCGACAATCAATAAGATAGGTATGTATAAGATTATAAATAAGATAGATAAATAAATATTATAAATAAGATAGGTATGCACGTCCATGTACCCATGGACGTAGTGTGCATGGAGCTGTAGGGGCTACAGCCCCCACAGAAATTTCTGTAAAAATTAATAAATTCTAGTTTTAAATGTTTTTATAATTTTTCCTTAAATTCATCAAGCTTTAAATATTAGCAGTCTATTGTGTATTAACAATTATTGTACTAACTTACATAAAACTACTTATTTTTATCACAAACATGTTATATTAATATTTTGGATTTACCCTGTGCGATCGTCGGGCCATGCATTGTCGCGTGTCCAATGATAATATTATAATGATAACGGATAATAACTTGTATGGAACACACACATAATAATTATTTATTTATCGGTATTTTTCTTGACGGGTCTTTGTCACGGTTATAGATATTAATCGTTATTAATCATGGTCTTTATAGTTTGCTCATGTACTACTAATCACACACACGTCTGTTTTATATTTTACTGCAAAACATATTATTTCATACATTTTTAATTAAATTTGTTATCTTTGTTTCTTTTATTTTTTGTTTTTCTTGTTTTTTAAAAAAAAAAAAGAATGTTCAGTATATTTAACATAAAGAAAAAGCCTGACAAGAAAACAGTACCACCAACTAGGGACAACGAAGACTTTGTAGTGGATGATCCAAGTCCAATAAATTTTTTTTTTTTTTGTTTACTCTAGGCTATTTAGACCCATTACCGCTTCCACTATCTCCCTCCATGATTCTCTATGTTCTGCCAGTTCCTCTCCATTCATAACTCCCAACATCTTAATGTCTTCCTTAACTCGGTTCACCCAACGTTGTCTAGGCCTTCCTCTCGGTCTACTTTTGTTCGGTTTCCATTTCATGATGGTCCATAGAAGTTAGTCTTTTGCTCTCCATACGTGTCCGGCCCATCTTATTCTTTGGCTCTTGAGTGTGGCAACTATACTGGGTTCGTTATATAAAGCGTTCAGTTCTCTATTTGATCTTATTTCATAGATACCTTCTTCATTTCTTTTTAGACCAAATATTCTACGTAAAATTTTTCTTACGAAGATCATTAATTTGTTTTCGTCTGATTTGGTAGATGCCCATGCTCCACAGGCGTATAGTACAATTGGTCTAACGAGGGTCTTATAAAATCTTATTTTCGTTCTTCTTGATAGTTTTTTTGGATTTAAATAATTGGAATAATGAGTAGTAGCTTTTGTTGCCAGCTGAGATTCTCCTGTGTATTTCCTCGTGGCTATCTGCCTGTGAATTTATGTCTACTCCTATGTACTTAATGTTCCAAACTCTTTCAAATGACATGTCTTTTAATATTATAGCACTTTGTGGATGTTCTCTCCTAGATATGATCATAAATTTGGTTTTATTATCATTTATTATCATCAAGTCCAATAAATAGTAAAATTAAAATTAATAATTCGTCAATACCTGATGATCTTAACATTATTCAACCTAAGCATTCTGAAATTGCATTAAATTACTCATTTCTGCTAGACTTAGGGAACTTGGAAACAGGACCAACTCAAAATAAACTAAACGTAAGTACTAGAGGTAGGCAAAAAACAAATGTTTTGAAATTTTTTATATTAGTTTTTCCTTAAAATTATTTTTATTACAATTTTCCTCGTACCAAAAGTTTTCAGTAATCACAAATGTTTGTATGTTTATTCAGTGCATTTTTTAACCATGTTAACTAGGCGACACAAATGTCGCCCAGTGAAAATGTTCTGTCGCTTAGTTGATAGTGTTTTGAAAAATTGTTAACTGTTAAAGGAAAATTTTATTAATTATTTTAAAAAAAAATTTTAATTTAATTACTTAAAATTAATTGTTTATTTTTTTTTGTATTGTAAAATAAAATGTCAGGTAAAGAATGAAACACCTATAAATTGTATTTTCTAGAAAATGTTCTCTTTCGCTTTAATTCAAACTAAAGATAAGAAGTTTTTGGAATACCAGACTTGGATAAAATACTTTTAAAAAGTATTTAGAATAAATACTGGAATACTTACAAAAAATAGTATTCCGAATATGTATTCAAATACTTTATACAAATTTTATTCCGAATACATTATTTAGAATACTTCAAAAGTAATCCGAATACTTTTAAAATACTTATAATTTTCATACTATAAAAATAATAGATATCCACTCAACAGAAATATTTGAAATTTTAAATTAAATATATATTATTTTATTGTATTTTTATATTACATAACTGTTATAATTTATGGTTTACAACCATAATAAATATTTAATATTAGCTTAAACAAGATACGGCGGAGAAGTAATAAAATCATTTAAAAAAAAAAATGATTTGACGGTATTCGAAATACAGTATTCAGAATACCCGTTATAAGTATTTAAAAAGTATTCGAAATACTTAAAAAATATTTTGAATACAGTATTCCGAATATTGTATTCGGAATACTACCCAAGTCTGTGGAATACATATTTCTAGTCCTATAATATAGCCCTCACAGATAATAATACCAAGCTACGCCCATGTATGTACCAACAGTTTTTTCTGTTATAAGTTATGAATGGATTTATAAACACAAAAAATCCTCAAAATATGCTTCTAATAATACTATAATAGGTATGCTATAAAATGTGCAAAATAGGTATGCTATAAAATTCATATCTAAATATGCATTTATAATTAAATCGAAAATATTTTATTTTAAACCATGTAGAAATTTAACAAATATTGCAATACAAAAGTGAACCAATGGTTTTAAACTTATTTTTATGCTCGTTTACATAAGTCTGTAAACGACTCCTAATTGGTGTTTTTTACTTAGGGCATTTTAAAGTAACGAACGAATAAAAAATAATTACTAGATAAAAAATCAAGGACAGTTTTACACGTAAAAATAATACGCACGACACAGAATGGTTTCTGTAATTCTTCGTTGGACACTTAAATTCTATCATATGATTTATATATATTAATATAATTTGTATGTCATTTTATTTTTGGTGATAACGGCCGGTATTTATTTTATATGTCTGTGAATGTGAAAATATAAGGTAAAACAAATATATGAACTACAAATATACATTAAATATGCTAAATAATCTGTACAGATATCTAATTTTCGAACAACTGTTTTTTAGAATATGAATCCAACATGATACATTTTTAATTCTATATAAAAAGTTAACATACAGCAACTTAATGATCATTGTTTGAAAGTAAATGATAGTTAAATAAAGGTTTTTGATTTTTTTCTATATACTTTCAGAGATATCAATAATAAAATAAAAGTAACAACTTGTAGGTATTTAAATCATAATACCTTTAATATAACAGCATTGTTTTTATTGCAAAAAAACCACAAACGTCCAATCTGATCAAAATTAATTATTTTTGAAATGCTGGTACCTACTAATACTTATGGGAAATAATTTTAATAAGATACACCTCATAATTAATTCAAAAATAAGGACAGAGAAAATAAAAACTTATTATAAATAAGTCTTAATTTGTCTTTATAATAATAATAACAAAATAATAAAATGATTAATACAAATCTTATAAGCATTTTTATAACATTATAAAATCAATTATTTCTTAAAAAAAAATGTTAATCCCTCCACCTCACAAACGTTTTTAAAATACGCCACTGATAGAATAAGTATGATTTCCGATTTAAGAATTTTATAACGTTGCTCCTATTGTGTGAGTACAAAACATCCAGACTTTTTCCTTTAATTTCCCATCTTAGTGTTAGCAAAAAAATTGTTAGTTAAACTCTTTTATTTGTTCATTGATAAACCAATAATAAAGGTATTAGTCGTTTTTTCTAACAAAAATGTTATGTTTGACGTAATTTTCTAAGTCTAAATGAAAATTAATTTATATTTAGTTTTAATCGTTTCTGATCGTATCGTCACCGATCTTAAGAATGAGTCTGAGCCCTTATGTCTCGTGATTTAAACTCATGCACAAGTTCAACTAGAAAAGGGCTTGTGGGACTTAACCCCTTTATATTTTCACAGACCCCCGATTAAAATTAATTAACCTCAGCATTTTGAGATAAAATCTAATCACATCTATAATCTCAATATACGAAATAATTATTAATTGTAATCCAGTGTATTATGGCTTACGTCTTAGGAATATCCAGAATCAAAATCTGGTTCGCGAAATCGCGTTTTTCATCTTCTTGCTAAAATTCGAACAGAACCTTTAGTAGGTAGTGAATAGTAACAAATGTTGTCAGTTTGTATATTAGTAGAGGGGTGTGCAGAAGCGTAGCTCCTACGAGTTTGTGTTATCTTGGTACTTATAGCCCCTCCTCCAATAAAAAATTGTAATGTAAGCTCTAGTTGCGCCTATGCACTCAAGTATTCCATCATTCCAGTAATACACATTACGTAACACATAATTTCCGGCAATACGGATCAATACGTATGCACAAGACTTATTGACCGCATGAATCGCACTCGGTCGATGAAGACCTCTCTGCCCCCATTTGGTTCAGACGTATAGAGGCGCAGCACAAACCTGAGCGGTTTTACTGCCCAAAACACGTGTTAAAAAAAAATAAAACAAGAATCACCCCGATGATCGTTATAAAATTGAACAGCTCCCTAGCCGATCAAACATGAAATTGTACATGCACATCAAATTCTTAGTACAGCATCTTCACGCGTAGTACCGTGATTATTTTTGGTACGAAGCGTACAAGAGAATACCTTAATGATATTGCCAAACGATTACGGATTGTTTTCAATCGTATCAACCGATTTGCTTGCCTTCAGTGACACAAACAAGATTTTTTTTCTTTTTAGGAGTTGGAGAATACAATCCCCAAACCTCCCTAGTGGCGCCACTGCTTGCCGTGGATACTTATCCACCAGAAGTTTTTTGCTCGGTACGAACTATACGAGTATGATTGCGTTTTTACGTGTATACGCATCTTCTGTATCCAACTAACCGTTCACATAACCTAACGATTTACAATTAGGTAAATACATACATTTGTACAACCAAACCAAAGATTATGTCGTGTTCCTGATACTTGTAATTCTACTGCTACCTATATCATCACTGAATTGATTAGACAATCCACGATGCAATGCTGTTATAATTTGTATGGACAAAGCACAACGTTTGATGGCTACTATATCATACGATATTGTGATAATATAATCATGTTTCAATATATAAATATATATGAACAGTTGCAGAACCAACAGGAGGAGAGATTAAAAAATAAAAATGTCTAAAATACATTCAATAAACGAATATAAACACAAATGTAAATATGTAAATATATAAAAAGAACAAAGCACAACATTCTAATCACATAAAAGATCAAATAAAAATAAACAGACAACCAATATTGATTTCAAAACTACAAATAGTTAACCTACTATTAACCCCAGATCTTATGTTCTCTTAGATTTCATTTTAATGTTTATCGTTTAATGTAAATTGCATAGAAACCATACTAGATGCTGAAAATTTTCATAATTGAAGCCTTAATCCAAAAAAATAAAAATATAATAGTCTACATTTATTTACCAATTTAGGTAGGTACCTAATATTGAGCATCACCCATTTGTGCCAAAAAAAATTAATTCGTTTTGGATATAGCCCATTCGTGCCAAATTTACCTGCTTAAATATTTTACATTAATGACTTGGTTAATTCAAATTATATACGTACTAATTATTTATTATTTTTTAAAAAAAAATATGTATCATTGATTATTATTTAAAAAAAAATCTTACAATTAACTATCATTTTTATAAAATTTTATTGATTATAATTACTACTATTATTATTTAATTATTATTTGAAAATAAATGTACCTATTAATTTATTATAATTATCTTGAAACAAAATAACATATTTATAATAAAGGATTTGTACAACGGAGGTTCAGATAATCTATACTGAATATGAATATTGTATATTAATTAATCAAGTTGTTATTGTAAAATGTTTATACAGGTAAATTTGGTACAAATGAGCTATACCCAAAACAAATAAATTTTTTTTTGGCGCAAATAGGTAACTCCCCTGATACTAGTTACTAACTTAATAAAAAGTGCATTACCACAAGCATAGAAATTGAAGAGTATCCTTTTTTTAAAATTATTAATTACTACAAAAATATATTATTTTTAGCTCTTATAAATTAATTATAAATACTATATAATACACATATACCCATGTATATGCTACCATATGCAGATACTACCACTCCAAATATTACAATATTGAAGACGAATAATTAATTTTAAAAATTAAAAATATGTGACTTTGTATTATAGCATATACAATACAGAGGGAAAAAAATATTGTTAAAAAGTTAAAGGTGCCAGTGTAGCATGTGATTTACCCATTACTATCCAGTTCTTTATCGGTAAAAAAGAAAGGTGTTTATTATATGCTAGTTACATTTAATTGTTGGAAGGTGTGGCGGAAAATTGAATCAGATTTGTTCATTACTTTTTTTAGATGATATGCGTGCTACATTCATAAATAGCGACTAAAACAAAACTTTTATTTTCAATATTCATTTAATGAAACTTATATTATGTGAATGTGATTTTGAAATTGTGATTTTTGAAATACGTGTGAGCCCACCTTCTCGTGGTGTATTTTGGGTAATGCTAAGCGGATCACAAATCGCAATCACCAAAAACAGGCTAGTAGATCGCACTCTACATCAGTAACAAGCTGGTAGGTCTCACGCTACACTGGCATCAAATTAAATAATGTTTATTCTATAAATGGGTTCAGTTAAGTTCCTCATTTGTAAACCACAGTTTCAAAACAGAATATATGTCTTTTTTGTTTAAAAATAGTTCACAAATAAAAGTTATTTCAGTTATAAAATATAAATATAAATGTTAAAAAGTAAGTTATTATTTATTTATTTGCTAATAATATTTGATAAAAATATACATATAAGACTAATATTATTGTATATAATACTTGATCTTGATCTTAAAATTTAAGATTTTGTGATAAACTGATGGATTTTGTCTTTCAAAAAAAAAAAAAAAACTATACTTATGATCTAAATGTCCTTCTATAAAATTAGCAGTCTTACAGTCCTAAAATATTGAGTATGCCACTGTAAAAACATAACTTGAACAAATATTAAAATATGAAAATAAAAATTAAATTTATACAACATATTACATAGAAAATTGTTCTTATTTACTGAATAATCTTGCTGTAAATTCAAATACATCAAAATATAATTACACAATTAATAAACTTCAAATTATAATATTTAATATTTGTTAATAAAGAGTTGATTAGTTTATTGGAGATACAATTGCTCGTCTTATTAAATTTCAACATTAATAATATTGACTATTGAAATTAATTTTTACAATCTCATTTAATAGATTTGTAAAAAAAATAAACCAAAATGTATGAATAAATAATATTGATGAACTATTAACAATATTTAACATATGTATAATATTATTTAAATTTAAATATAATGATAATTTTTAATAATTAAAGAAAAACCAATAAAAATTTATAAAAAAGACAGTTCAAACCTTTATCTTTATATAAAGATTGAACAACGCACAAAATATTGTAACAAAAAATTCAAGCATTAAAAAAATGTATACATATAATGGTTCTAAAATTATTTAAATTATTAATTCAGAATTTATAAGAAAACATTTTTATTACTAATAATTTATATTATTTATATTGTTTATATTATTTTTATTATTTTTATTATTGTTATAATTATAACTTTGCAGCCTAGTTAAATATTACGATTATAAAAATGTATAAGTTATTATTTATAATTTATAATGGACATTTATAAATAATATTATACTATGTAACATAAAATTAAACTGTAATATTTAAATTAAAAAATAGTTTTACCTATAAAATTTCATTTAAATGTCATCAAAGATAATCAATTTAAAATAGATATATAAAATGCAATTCAATAGTTAATTATTTTATTAACTAAATGTTAAAGTTTTATTACAGTATTTGTTTAATTTTTTTTTTTTATGTTTTATAATATATGCTTTAATTTATCTGTAATAAATATAATTAATTATTATTAATACATTTTTAATTTTAAACAAATCTAAATAATATCAATAGTAGAGGTGATTTTAAAATATAGATACTTCATATTAAAAAATATTAAATTTCTAACTTATAAGTAATTCACAAAAAAATTATGATTGATAGTTACTTTTTTTTTTGGTTTCATTTTAAAATATAAAGTACACATTTTTTTTAAAAATAATGAAATTCATGATATAGTAACAATATTTTAGATCTTTGCATCGATAATTGTACAATTGGATATAAAAATTAGAAAATTTTCTATATTAAGTACAGTATAGTCTTGATAATATAGCATTGCATTAGTTAGGAACCATCAGTAATCCAGCATATTTTCTACAACCTACTATATTATTTTATTTAAGATGATATTGTTAGAATTTCAATAAAATTACAAAATTGTTGGTGATTATAATAATACATAAATAAATTGTAACTTTTCATAATTAATTAACAAAATAAATTCAATATGTTTCAATTTTATTTAATAAAAACTAAAAAAATAATGTTTCATACCACACATCTTATAGACATTTTTTTGATATTTTTTTTGATAGTCTTAACATCTTTAGTAATTCAGCAATACTAACTATATTGTACTAAAGATGTTGTAATTTCTAATTGATCAAGAAATTATATACCTCCATTCAATAAAATTAAAACAAGATTATTCAAAACATTTATCTAATTTGTTATGCATTCATAAGTTATTATGAAGAATATTATAATTATATTATAATTAGTTATTATTTGAGTATTTTAAGTTATTATCAATTGTTCTAATGTTATGTACATAAAAAATGTTTTCATTGAAAACTTAAAATTTGTTTAACCGTTTTTTAAAAATTATTTTAGTTACATGTACCAATATTTCAAGATTTTCAATAATTTGAAGCTTAACAAAATAAAAAAAAAAATAATAAAGTCATTATAATAATCTAAAAACTAAAAAATTTTAATATAACAACTTATTATCAAATGGTAAAAATAAATTAAATTGAAAAGCTTAATTTATAGAATACCATATACAACTATATAAAGCATATAATTTAATTTTAAACATTACCATCATTAATCCATGTTCAATTCAAATCAATTAATAGTTATTCCATTTCATTGGTTATTTTGAAAAGAAAACAACACATTTATGCACTAAAAAACAACATTTAAAGTAAAAAATATAATTATTAACTGAAATATATAAGATAACACTGATGATCATAAACTAAAACTACAACAAGTGTACTGGTCGAGCACACAAATACAACTGTGGCGTTGTTAGTTTCGGCATCGAACAACTACAGCGTACGGCAGGAACCCTTTGGACTCTTTTGCATGAAGCACTGTGGTTGGCTAAAAAATAAATGCCATTTACCCTTTTTTTTCTTCGCTCCACAGTGTAAGTCTCTGTTCCCCAATGATATGCGATTCAGTCTGATGGTGCGCACTCGCAAGCATATGCTCTGTCAGCACTGATATACAAACACTGCGCACAAAATAATTTAAAAAAACATTCAGACTCTGTGATAATAATAAGGAAGGGTTAGCTTACCCCTTTTAACTGCACAGGAACCATTTTGCTTTTTCGCACCCTTTTTTTAATGCATATAATAAACTACTGCAGCTGGTTAAAAAAGGGTTGGAACCCTTTTTATAGGTGAATCACAGTTCAACCCCATAGGTGCGCTTGTAAATAACAGTATACATAGTAGTACTGCAGCTCTGAACACCGAAATTTATTATTATTTATTTTTTTACATTTATCCCATTGATTTGTATACAAGATAAAAATATTAATTTGAAATAATTTTACCGTTGTAATTGTCAAGTTGATGTCCATCCAATTAGAACAAGAACGTGATCTCAGCAGAACGCGTAATTCCACCGTTGGTTTTTATCGAACAAAGATATCTAGAGTAATAACTAAACACACATATTACCAAATCAATAACAAACAGTGATTAATTAAAATTAGAACGTTAGTTCTACCTTAGTTTTCGTTTCTCCATGTTTTACGTAGGTATGTGGGTGTTCAACTTAAGCCGTAATCATCAAAAACACGAAACAGCGTGTTTCAACTCGGATGCAAGCAGCGCGGATTCGTAACGGAGTTATCAAGTCGATCGCGTTTTGGATATAATCACACGTTTTATCAACGCTATCCGGTTTAATATTGCATGGAAGTATACACGGCCACGATTGGGCGCGATCTTTGTCGAACACAAATCCAAGTAAATCGAAGTACGTCGGTTGAAAAACGTTGCAACTGTTTGCACTACTGAATTGGCATATTTTTTAACTTCGGAATTGATGGGCATGGGAAAAATACGATTTTTCTACAAACTATTTCCTTGTAAATCTTTCGTACCCGATTCGGATTGTTGAAACCGTACGTCGGTCTACAGTTGTTTATCAGCTCAAATTAAAGTCCGTTCGAATTAAGAGTATATCAATTGGCAACCTATATTTATATGACTACTTATAGCCGAAGCTGGTGCGGGGTAAGGGAGGGTTGCTGTACGCCGGATTAATTTTTAAAATGAGTAGGTACATACAATTATGGGTAACGAATTCAATAATCAACTCGAGGACTGGAACTAGTGGTGGTCGGGGGTGCTGAGCACCCCTAAAACTGATTTTAGTACCCCTTCAGTTAATTTCTTCAGAAATAGATATATTTTCTAAAAGAAATGGAAAAATTCATTTGTAAAATAAACGCATTATGAATATAATAACAAAAATGGTAAATAACAAAAAAATTATAACATAATTTGTATTTTAAGAAAGTATTGTTGAATAATTATTTATTTACTTTGGTTATAAAAACTAAGTAACCCCTAGTTTTTTTCATCTGGATCCGTCACTGACTGGAACCTTTACAATTTTAAGGATTTCGGTTTCGGTTCCAGTTCTTTAAAACATAAAATATCGGTTACGATTTGGGAATCGGAATTTGAAAATACAAAATTAAGGTTTCGATTCCGGTTCCAGTTAAAATCTTTTTTGTAACCGGTTCCAACTTTTTTTTGTTTAAACGGAAAAAAGTATATAACATGTATTTTAATGTAAAATACTATATTTTTCAATTAAAAAAATTTTAATTTTATCAAAATATTAAAAAAATCATTATAATTATGATATACAATTGTAGATACCTGTAAGCAGTAGCGTACTTACTGCGACTGGGGAATCGGAATTTGAAAATACAAAATTAAGCGTTCGATTACGGTTCC